TGTCACAGACTCAAGTTGTAAACATTTTAGCTGGTGCTTTGGTTGGATCTGTCACAGACTCAAGTTGTAAACATTTTAGCTGGTGCTTTGGTTGGATCTGTCACAGACTCAAGTTGTAAACATTTTAGCTGGTGCTTTGGTTGGATCTGTCACAGACTCAAGTTGTAAACATTTTAGCTGGTGCTAAGGACAGCTAACTTGTCTCTGAGGTATGTCTACCTTAAAATGCCCATCAACAATTGGTAAGCTTCACCTTTTTATTGTTTTACTTTTTATGTTTTGACCCAAAATAAAATTTAAGAAGAACATTAGTGTCTGTGGTATTATTCCTTCAATCTTACTGACATGTATAGGTCAACACACTAACAGAAGAAAAGGTCACCATATGACCTTGAACATCAGGGTTGGTGAACAGCTTGAGATTGAAGGTCAGCTGGGAGGTTGCTCCTCTCATATTCTACTATAGAAATTGGAGTCCTAAGGACTTGACAATGAGTACATACACTTATGTCATTACAATTTCATCTTAGCAGGAAGACCTGCTTAAGGCAGTCAGTATAATGTGTCAATTATGTCAGCATGTCGATGAAAAAACAAAATAATTCTGTTATGAAAACTGATAACCTGTTTCCCCTCTAATGCTATTTGATACCCTGTTACCCCTGATGTGTGACCTGATACTCTGTTTCTTGTTATATTTCTTGATCCGCTTTTTCCCTGGTATATTACCCTATACCCTATTTCCCTGGTATATTACCCTATACCCTATTTCCCCATTTGTGTTACCCAATACCCTGTTTGTCCCCATTTTCCCTGGTAGGTTACTCAAAACCCTGATTTCTCTTTACATTACCCAATACCCTGTGTCCCCTGTTACATTACCTGACACACTGACTCCCCTTTACATTACCCAATACCCTGTGTCCCCTTTTACATTACCTGATACCCTGACTTCCCTTTACATTACCCTATACCCTGTGTCCCCTGTTACATTACCTGATTCCCTGACTCCCCTTTACATTACCCAATTCCCTGTGTCCCCTGTTACATTACCTGATACCCTGCCTCCCCTTTACATTACCTAATACCCTGTGCCCCCTGTTCCATTACCTGACACCCTGACTCCCCTTTACATTCCCCAATACCCAATATGTCCCCTGTTACATTACCTGACCCCCTGACTCCCCTTTACATTACCCAATACCTTTTGTCCCCTGTTACATTACCTGATACCCTTACTCCCCTTTACATTACCTAATACCCTGTGTCCCCTGTTACATTACCTGACAACCTGACTCCCCTTTCCATTACCCAATACCCTGTGTCCCCTGTTACATTACCTGCCCCCATGACTCCCCTTTCCATTACCCAATACTCTGTGTCCCCTGTTACATTACCTGACACCCTGACTCCCTTTCCATTACCCAATACCCTGTGTCCCCTGTTACATTACCTGATACCCTGACTCCCCTTCACATTACCTAATACCCTGTGTCCCCTGTTACATTACCTGACAACCTGACTCCCCTTTCCATTACCCAATACCCTGTTGCCCCTCTTACATTACCTGATACCCTGACTCCCCTTTACATTACCCAATACCTTTTGTCCCCTGTTACATTACCTGATACCCTGACTCCCCTTCACATTACCTAATACCCTGTGTCCCCTGTTACATTACCTGATTCCCTGACTCCCCTTTACATTACCCAATTCCCTGTGTCCCCTGTTACATTACCTGATACCCTGCCTCCCCTTTACATTACCTAATACCCTGTGCCCCCTGTTCCATTACCTGACACCCTGACTCCCCTTTACATTACCCAATACCCAATATCTCCCCTGTTACATTACCTGATACCCTGACTCCCCTTTTCATTACCTAATACCCTGTGTCCCCTGTTACATTACATGACACCCTGACTCCCCTTTACATTACCCAATACCCAATATGCCCCCTGTTACATTACCTGATACCCTGACTCCCCTTTTCATTACCTAATACCCTGTGTCCCCTGTTACATTACCTGATACCCGGACTCCCCTTTACATTACCCAATACCCAATATCTCCCCTGTTACATTCCCAGATACCCTGACTCCCCTTTCCATTACCCAATACTCTGTGTCCCCTGTTACATTACCTGACACCCTGACTCCCTTTCCATTACCCAATACCCTGTGTCCCCTGTTACATTACCTGATACCCGGACTCCCCTTTACATTACCCAATACCCAATATCTCCCCTGTTACATTCCCAGATACCCTGACTCCCCTTTCCATTACCCAATACTCTGTGTCCCCTGTTACATTACCTGACACCCTGACTCCCCTTTACATTCCCCAATACCCAATATGTCCCCTGTTACATTACCTGATACCCTGACTCCCCTTTACATTACCCAATACCTTTTGTCCCCTGTTACATTACCTGATACCCTGACTCCCCTTTACATTACCCAATACACTGTGTCCCCTGTTACATTACCTGATACCCTGACTCCCCTTTACATTACCTAATACACTGTGTCCCCTGTTACATTACCTGATACCCTGACTCCCCTTTACATTACCCAATACCCTGTGTCCCCTATTACATTACCCAATACCCTGTGTCCTCTGTTACATTACCCAATACCCTTTGCCCCATTATGTTATGAAATACCCTCAGTATTACATCACTTTAACCCAAACTTATCTATTCATATGATAAATTTGATATACGCCCACACTATAAAATCTTGCCCATTCAAATATCACAGCTTTATGTTACACAATGGGTACTGAGATAATATATTCTAGGTCACGTGATGTTAGGGTGAAAGGTCAGCCATTATAGGTATAGGAGGTGACCCACATTCGTTTGTTATCACAATGACAGTCATGTGCATACATTACAATGTATAAATACTAAGTTATGACCACATAAACATTGACATATGTTACAAACATCACTAATTACTACATTGGTTGACAGATTTCAGGTCACTTCCAACTAGTAAAATAAAACAATGTCTCATGGTCAAAAGTATATATTGAGGTCAAAAATTCAAGGTCAAATATTTCTGTTTAACAATGTGACCTTTGTGAACCTTTCTAATCTGGCCTCTATGTTAGACATGGCAGTGCTTCAATGATTTAAATCTTACTCTGTCCTACAGTGAGAACAAAGATTCAGAACCTACAAAAAAGTAGATTAAAATTAACCAATACAAGGACTAAAACTCAATCAGAACATTAATACACGATTGGAGAAACTCTGTAAGAATCCATTTTAAATAGGTTGGTGAGGCATGGTAAGTAGAAAGTTCACTCCACCCTGTCAGTAATGCTACTACATAAGTCATTTGTCTTTGATAAACATCCTGTCCTCCATCAATAACTGAGTAGAACAATCCACCCAGCAGGTACCCAACCGATAAACCAGTAAAGGCCACATCCTTATAGGGCCCCGCAAAATACCTAACCTCTATACAGAGAGGCACATTACCCAGCAGGTACCCTACCGATAAACCAGTAAAGGCCACATCCTTATAGGGCCCCGCAAAATACCTAACCTCTATACAGAGAGGCATGCCAACCACCAGGTACCCTACCGATAAATCAGTAAAGGCCACATCCTTATAGGGCCTGGCAAAATACCTAACCTCTATACAGAGAGGCATGCCACCAACCAGGTACCCTACAGATAAACCAGTAAAGGCCACATCCTTATAGGGCCTCGCAAAATACCTAAACCCTATACAGAGAGGCATGCCACCAACTAGGTACCCTACCGATAAACAAGTAAAGGCCACATCCTTATAGGGCCCCGCAAAATACCTAACCTCTATACAGAGAGGAATGCCACCAACCAGGTACCCTACCGATAAATATGTAAAGGCCACATCCTTATAGGGCCCCGCAAAATTCCTAACCTCTATACAGAGAGGCATGCCACCAATCAGGTACCCTACCGATAAACCAGTAAAGGCGACATCCTTATAAACCAGTAAAGGCCACATCCTTATAGTGCCCCGCAAAATACCTAACTTCTATACAGATAGGCATGCCACCAACCAGGTACCCTACCGATAAACCAGTAAAGGCCACATCCTTATAGTGCCATGCAAAATACCTAACCTCTATACAGAGAGGCACATCACCAAGCAGGTACCCTACAGATAAACCAGTAAAGGCCACATCCTTACAAGGCCCCGCAAAATACCTAACTTCTATACAGAGAGGCATGCCACCAACCAGGTACCCTACCGATAAACCAGTAAAGGCCACATCCTTATAGTGCCCCGCAAAATACCTAACCTCTATACAGAGAGGCACATCACCCAGCAGGTACCCTATCGATAAACCAGTAAAGGCCATATCCTTACAGGGCCCCGCAAAATACCTAACTTCTATACAGAGAGGCATGCTACCAACCGGGTACCCTACCAATAAATCAGTAAAGGCTACATCCTTATAGGGCCCCGCAAAATACCTAACTCCTATACAGAGAGGCATGCCGCCAACCAGGTACCCTACCGATATACCAGTAAAGGCCACATCCTTATAGGGCCCCGCAAAATACCCAACTTCTATACAGAGAGGCATGCCACCAACCAGGTACCCTACCGATAAATCAGTAAAGGCCACATCCTTATAGGGCCCCGAAAAATTCCTAACTTCTATACAGAGAGGCATGCCACCAACCAGGTACCCTACCGATATACCAGTAAAGGCCACATCCTTATAGGGCCCCGCAAAATACCTAGCTTCTATACAGAGAGGCATGCCACCAACCGGGTACCCTACCAATAAATCAGTAAAGGCTACATCCTTATAGGGCCCCGCAAAATACCTAACTTCTATACAGAGAGGCATGCCACCAACCAGGTACCCTACCGATAAATCAGTAAAGACCACATCCTTTTAGGGCCCTGCAAAATACCTAACCTCTATACAGAGAGGCTTGGCAAGTGACAGTTTGAATTATGGTAGAACTCCGCTACATGAATTACCTCTTATTTTCTTCACTCTATACAAAGTTGTTTATCTTGTCTTTCCTATCAGCATGTGCACTACTAGTGATGTAAATATAGATTGTAAATATACAAGCTGAGATATATATACGAAAATGGTGATACAAATGTCTCTAATGCACAAACCAGTAATCTAAAGGAATTTAACTGATCTAACCAAATCTACAGTAATAAAACCGTGTGAAACTTTCTTAAATCATGCCTTCATGTTTTCTCTGGACCAAGTACCAGTGTTTTGGTCACCAAATGTTCCCGACATCAGATTATAAAGTTATACGATGTGACCAGTCAAAGACCTTTAAATTGTTTGCAATATGTGAACGCAAAAGTCGCTTGAGGTGACAATACCTGGCTGTCGAAAGAGAAGTCCCCAAGCAGGTCCCCACTTGTGGTTCCCTTCATGTCGATGGTGGGGCTGGCTGAGAAAGGATCAAAATCATCCGTCTGCTGAACTGTTCCATTGGCTGCAGGGGTCGATTCCCCAAAGTCGAGGAGGGCATCAAATTGTGACATTCTCTGTGATGTCCGTAAGGTCAAAGGTCAAGTAAAACCTGCAATGACAGAAGACAGGATAGGGTTACAATAATACATAAACAACCCCTGGGCAGTGTTGTAAGCTTATGAAACCAGTAGTAGCGTGTTATGTCTTGTATTTACCCTTTGTTACTCTATATCCTCTGAAAATATCAGTCTTTGGTAAATTGGCAGAAATTTAAAGAAAGTCAAGTTAAGGGGGAGTGTGGGGGCCGATTAAAGGAAGTAAGATTAAGGGAATTCTGATAAATGGAGGTCAGAATATATATATAGAGAGAGATGGAAAGATGTGATTAATGGAGGTCAATATATGTATAGAGAGAGATGGAAAGATGTGATTAATGGAGGTCAGAATATATATAGAGAGAGATATGGAAAGATGTGATTAATGGAGGTCAGAATATATATATAGAGAGATGGAAAGATGTAATTAATGGAGGTCAGAATATATATATAGAGAGAGATGGAAAGATGTGATTAATGGAGGTCAGAATATATATATAGAGAGAGATGGAAAGATGTGATTAATGGAGGTCAGAATATATATATAGAGAGAGATGGAAAGATGTGATTAATGGAGGTCAGAATATATATATAGAGAGAGATGGAAAGATGTGATTAATGGAGGTCAGAATATATATATAGAGAGAGATGGAAAGATGTGATTAATGGAGGTCAGAATATATATATAGAGAGAGATGGAAAGATGTGATTAATGGAGGTCAGAATATATATATAGAGAGAGATGGAAAGATGTGATTAATGGAGGTCAGAATATATATATAGAGAGAGATGGAAAGATGTGATTAATGGAGGTCAGAATATATATATAGAGAGAGATGGAAAGATGTGATTAATGGAGGTCAGAATATATATATAGAGAGAGATGGAAAGATGTGATTAATGGAGGTCAGAATATATATATAGAGAGAGATGGAAAGATGTGATTAATGGAGGTCAGAATATATATATAGAGAGAGATGGAAAGATGTGATTAATGGAGGTCAGAATATATATATAGAGAGAGATGGAAAGATGTGATTAATGGAGGTCAGAATATATATATAGAGAGAGATGGAAAGATGTGATTAATGGAGGTCAGAATATATATATAGAGAGAGATGGAAAGATGTGATTAATGGAGGTCAGAATATATATATAGAGAGAGATGGAAAGATGTGATTAATGGAGGTCAGAATATATATATAGAGAGAGATGGAAAGATGTGATTAATGGAGGTCAGAATATATATATAGAGAGAGATGGAAAGATGTGATTAATGGAGGTCAGAATATATATATAGAGAGAGATGGAAAGATGTGATTAATGGAGGTCAGAATATATATATAGAGAGAGATGGAAAGATGTGATTAATGGAGGTCAGAATATATATATAGAGAGAGATGGAAAGATGTGATTAATGGAGGTCAGAATATATATATAGAGAGAGATGGAAAGATGTGATTAATGGAGGTCAGAATATATATATAGAGAGAGATGGAAAGATGTGATTAATGGAGGTCAGAATATATATATAGAGAGAGATGGAAAGATGTGATTAATGGAGGTCAGAATATATATATAGAGAGAGATGGAAAGATGTGATTAATGGAGGTCAGAATATATATATAGAGAGAGATGGAAAGATGTGATTAATGGAGGTCAGAATATATATATAGAGAGAGATGGAAAGATGTGATTAATGGAGGTCAGAATATATATATAGAGAGAGATGGAAAGATGTGATTAATGGAGGTCAGAATATATATATAGAGAGAGATGGAAAGATGTGATTAATGGAGGTCAGAATATATATATAGAGAGAGATGGAAAGATGTGATTAATGGAGGTCAGAATATATATATAGAGAGAGATGGAAAGATGTGATTAATGGAGGTCAGAATATATATATAGAGAGAGATGGAAAGATGTGATTAATGGAGGTCAGAATATATATATAGAGAGAGATGGAAAGATGTGATTAATGGAGGTCAGAATATATATATAGAGAGAGATGGAAAGATGTGATTAATGGAGGTCAGAATATATATATAGAGAGATGGAAAGATGTGATTAATGGAGGTCAATATATATATATAGAGAGATGGAAAGATGTGATTAATGGAGGTCAGAATATATATATAGAGAGATGGAAAGATGTGATTAATGGAGGTCAGAATATATATATAGAGAGATGGAAAGATGTGATTAATGGAGGTCAGAATATATATATAGAGAGATGGAAAGATGTGATTAATGGAGGTCAGAATATATATATAGAGAGATGGAAAGATGTGATTAATGGAGGTCAGAATATATATATAGAGAGATGGAAAGATGTGATTAATGGAGGTCAGAATATATATATAGAGAGATGGAAAGATGTGATTAATGGAGGTCAGAATATATATATAGAGAGATGGAAAGATGTGATTAATGGAGGTCAGAATATATATATAGAGAGATGGAAAGATGTGATTAATGGAGGTCAGAATATATATATAGAGAGATGGAAAGATGTGATTAATGGAGGTCAGAATATATATATAGAGAGATGGAAAGATGTGATTAATGGAGGTCAGAATATATATATAGAGAGAGATGGAAAGATGTGATTAATGGAGGTCAGAATATATATATAGAGGGATGGAAAGATGTGATTAATGGAGGTCAGATTAAAAGGTTGTCATTCTAGAGTTCAGATCAAAAAAGGATCTTTTTTTAAATTAAAAGGGATCTGATTATAAGGGTGGTCAGGTTATGAAGGGTCTGATACTGGCAAGATTATGTGAGGTCAGATTAACGAAACAAGAAAAATCTAGCTTTGTATAAGAAGACTGACCACAGACTAGATGTCAGGTATTGTTCTGGTCAGCTAGACAAAATAACAACAGATTTATAATTGAATTATTCATAAAGTATGCTGGCATCACTGACCCCATCTACTGATCAATAGGTCAAACTGACCAACCAGTCAAACTGACCAACCAGTCAAACTGACCACATTAGGGATGTCTGTGTCAGCAGTGTTACTAACAATGACCGTATTAGATCGGAAGCCCTGTCAATCCAAGTCAAAGTCAATTACTGTACTGACCAAAAACAGGGCTTAAATTGTCCTCAAATAGGAAATTCTCTTGGTAATTAGCTAAGAACAGTTAATGAAATGAAAGTGTTATGACCTTCAGGTCCAATGTTACACAAATTGTGAATATTAGTATCCCTAATGACATCACTAGCAACACAAAGTGAATCACTTTTTAACAGATTTCTGTAAATATAACTAGAGGCCCAAGGGCCTTAGCGGTCACTTGAGTTATATCATAGGTACTGGTAGCTTTAATTTATTGTTTAGGTGTGATGTGGAAATCAGCATGTAAACTAAGTGAAATACAATACTTGTCATGTCATCAAAGGATAAGAATTTTAAAATATTTGTAAATGTTCCCTTTGGGGCCCTGCACTAACCCCTGGGGATGGGGCAGGAATTCCAAGTTTACAATGTGATACCGTCATACACCAAAGATGATTCTGACCAAGTAAAAAAAAAATCCAACAGAAAATTGTCAAAATATACCCAAAAGTGTTGTTTCCCTATATAAACTATAGTAAACTTTACCCCCTCCCCAAGGGATAACAGATAGCTTGGGGGTCCTGAAATTTACAATTTAAATAAAGGCCCTGATGATCTTTCCATCCATGCAGAGAAAATGACTGTAATACCTCTGAGTCTGGAGAAGAAGATTTTTGAAATATTGGTTAATTTTCCCTTTTGGGCCCCGCCCTGGCCCCTAGGATTGGGGTAGGGATCCCAATTTTACAATTTAAAACCATCTTCCTCCTCCAAGGATAATTCTCACCAAGTAAAAATAATTTCCAACAGAAAATTGTCAAAATATA